TACCAAAATTGCTTAAAACTGAAATATATGTATTGCGAGGGCTGGGCCTGAGTTCTAGAGGACTACTCTCATGGACAGAATTAAAGGCTTTCCTCTGAAAAATCTCATCTTGCTTATTAATGCCTGAAAGTTTTGGGGCATCTGGTGGCTCAGTCGGTTAAGCATCTGCCTTCGGCTCAGGTCATGATCTCAGCGTTCTGGGATGGAGCCCCATGTCAGGCTCCCTGCTCAGCGGGGAGCCTGCTTCTTCCTCTGTCCATGCTTTCTCTAATAAAATCCTTAAAAAAAAAATGCCTGAAAGTTTTTCAACACAGGACAGTCTTCCATTTCACAAGTAGAGCTACTCTTCTTCCAAACCAGCTCTCCCTCCTAAATTCCTTCAATGATATACACTAGTGATTCTCTACAGAATTTTCTCCTGAATGTTTTTAACCTCTTATTTTCTATAGGTCTAGAGTCTGCATGACCAGGAATAAAATCCTTATAAAGTTTTTATTTATATTCCAGTTAGAGATAGGTCTTAAAATGAACATATTCTAGAAGTTAACATTTGAAGAATTCATTCACTTGATCTCACATCAACCTGTGATTTGATAACACTGAGTACTTGACCACTGCGTGGTGCTGAAATTTGAGATGAAGCTGATAAATCCTTGGCATTTTAAAGTAGCCAAGGTCTAGCCCTATTCATCTTCAACTGTAAATATAGACAGAAGCAATGTGCTAAGGCTTGGGGTTATACACTGGGACAGGGACAAGCTCTTGGAACACTGATTCTAACCAGCTTTGTTAGTTTTATAGAAAGCCCAAATGTAGCTTTCCTAGCAATGTCTGATACTCAAGAAGAGCAAGATGTTTTTACTCTGGGTCCAGTTCTACCTACTGATACTGACTTCAATTTAGTTAATTTTCTGAAGGCTTTAGTTATTCCAAAGCAGTGGGTTTACGCTTTTCCTTTTATGTAGGTTTACTCCTTTTTCTTCATATGGAAAAAAAAAAAACTTGCAAGGGATATCATTAACTGGAAAAAAAAATTGAGGAACCAAGGTGTATTTGAGATTCCGACTGTGTGTGTGTATGTTTAAAACCATTTATAGGGGCGCCTGGGTGGCTTAGTTGGTTAAGCGACTGCCTTCAGCTCAGGTCATGATCCTGGAGTCCCTGGATCGAGTCCCACATCGGGCTCCCTGTTCAGCAGGGAGTCTGCTTCTCCCTCTGACCCTCTCCCCTCTCATGCTCTTTCATTCTCTCTCATATAAATAAAATCTTTAAAAACAATTAAAACCATTTATAGATTAAGTTTTTCTGATTCACAAGAAACTTGTAATTACCTCTGGGAAGACACAGGTTGTAGGAAGAGATTGACTTTGAGCTGTAATATTTTCTGTATGCTGGATTTTTAACCATGTACATTTATTTTTTCCTTTATGTAAAAGATAAATTGTAACAAAAAGGAACATAACCTACTTTTGAGAATTTATATATGTGAAATAGGTACAGTACATAAAATATGTACATAGATGTTTAAGGAAGCACTGTTTTATGTTAACAAAAATTACAGTCTGCATATCCATCAGTAGGAGAAATAGTTGAATAAATTATGACATCTATATAAAGATAGTTTCTGTTCCCTGCAAACCAAAGTTTTTTGTAACTAACTGACTAGGGTATGTAAAACAACGGAGTTAGTTGGAAGTATACTGATGTTATTTGCTTCTGGACATTTCCCCCTATGCATTTGATTTTTACATAGTTGTAATTATATGTGCAATTTAGTATTAAGGTTTTTGTTATGCAAATTTAGGTACATATCTTTGTTCCTGTTGCAAGAATTTTTAAGCCGTAGTATATAATAAACTGCACTGGATAGATATTGATAGTAAATTAGTTTAATAATCTGGACATAAACTATTTCCCTATTGTATGATATTTAGGTCGAATCTAATTTGTTCACTGTAGCACCTATCATAATGGCTTTAACCTGGGGAAGCAGTGGAGATGGTGAGAAATGGTAGGATTCTGATATATTTAGAAGGGAGGGTCAGTAGGATTTGCTGATGAATTGGGTGTATGACATAAGAGGAAGTAGAGTCAAAGATGCCACCAAGGTTTTTGCCTTAGCGGCTAAAAAGATGGGAGTTGTTATCAGCTGAGATGGCTGGAGAGTAAGGATTGCTTTGAGCATGTTGAGTCTGAGATCTCTCTTTGATAGTTATAGTTGAAGGAGTCTGGAGTTAATGAGAGGTTTAATGAGAGCTGTAAATCTGGGAGTCATCAGCATTACAGGTGGTATTTAAAGTCATGAGACTGGATGAGATCACCAAGGTAGTGAGTAGGAATACAGAGTAGAAATAAGGACTGAGCCCTGGGGCTCTCTAATTTTAAGTCAGAAGAAAGAACCACCACTGAGCTAAAAAGAAAGCCCCTTCAAATTCCAATTAGAAATTATTCTTCAATGATGTTTCACTGAAAAATGCAATCCTATTTTACTCTGACCATCAGAAAAGGTAGAGATCACCAAAAATTGAGTTATGGATCTATAATCTTTCAATCATTGAGGCAGTTTAGAAATACAAAATTTTGGAAGTCACCTTTATATTAAAGAATATCAATTTGAGCAGATAACACTTTATCTGTGAGGTTGTATATAATTTTTTTTTAGAACTGTATTTCCTATATAAAATAAAAAGTAGTGGATAGCTGATAGATACTCCTTTTCCAGGGCTGCCATAACAAATCACCACAGGCTGGGTGGCTTAGCAGAAATTTATTCTCTCACAGTTCTGAAAAATCAAGAAGGCCAGAAGTCTGAAATCAAGCAGGGCTGGCCCCTTCCGGAGGCTCTGAGGGACAATGCATTCCATACCCTTCTCCTGGCTTCTGGTGGCATCGTAGGGCCCCGAGGCTTGCATAACTCTCTGCCTCTGTCTTCACATGGCCTTCTCCCTCATGCCTCTGTTTCAAATATCATTCTCTAAAGACACTGGTCAATGGATATAGGGCCCATCCTAAATCCACGATGATCTTATTCCAAGATCCTTAAATCTGCAAAAACTTAAAATATGGTCACATTCACAGGTACATGAGGTTAGAACCTGGACATACCTTTGCGGGGACACTCTTAAACCCAAAACATATAATAAAAAGGCTTGCAGGATCAGGAGTAAGTTGCTGGCCAATTCCTAAGAAATACAGATAGAAGTTGTTCCTAAGTACTAGTTTTGTGGTAAGAGAGAAGATGCCATAAAAAAAACTATTAATAAATGTAAGCATTGTTCTCAAATTAACTTGGAGACCATATCAATTTCAACCATTCGTCTTTATTGATAAAATAGGCTCCTATGCAGTACACACTCTCAGACATAAATTTAAGGTTTTGCTTTAAAAAAAAAAAAGTATGGATGTTGCTATATAACAAAGTAAATATCTTTAAACACCAAGATCTTAAAATTATATCCAAGTAAGAAGACCAAGAATAAATTAACTTGTTTATAAAAATAATTATCAAGTAACATTCTGTAATAGAGCTGCCTCAATGAATTGCCTCAGACTTAATCTCAACTGTGTAGCTTATTTTAATTCTGACTTGGGATAAAAACTATATGAATGAATGTGCCACCAAATTAATAGATAATTCCCCCAAAACCAATAGAAAAGTTTAAAAATAAAAATTGTCATTTATAAAATATCAATTAAGGCCTCTGAGAAATGAAATCTATTCAGTGTTTGGGCCATTAGCCCTTTTCAGTCAGCCCCATTGACCCCACTTACTCCAAACTTTAGAAAAATTTCAAAGTGAAAAGTAGTTTTGAATTTTACCAATATATGAAATTATACACAAAAATCACCATGTGAATATTTCTTTAACAAATTACATACCCAAAAGTAGAATTTGCTACTGTGCTAATTTTAATATAAATGAGTATATTTAATCATGTGATTTTATCCTTTTATTCTATAATCACAAAATAAGAAAAATTTTAGATTTCAATTGATGTTAAAGTACATTTCTATTTCTAGTGGCTTTTAAAAATTTAAATACTGGATATTATTTTGTAAAAAATAAAACAAATACTTATAAATCTATAGATTTCCTACCCCCCAGTCCCCCTATGGACTGAGAGGTTACAAGAAAAATCTTATAGGTTATGAGGACCAGATAGAGCTTAAGCATAGATCCAGAAAACAATTTTTTTTTTGAAATTTTAACTTACTTTCTGTATCTTTTAAGAACACTTTTAAAAAAGGGTTCAATGAGGCAGAGCAATTTTCAATTTACTTTGAAATTACCATACCTAGCTTGCTATATCAAACATTTCAACTGTTAGCTAAAAGAGCTATATAATATACTTAAAGATCAACCAGAGAAGAGAAAAATCTCATCTTCATTATTGATTTAGAACCAAAACTTAATCTTTCAAAGGAGTAGTTTAACCTACTAATATGTCTCTTATAAGATCTTCTTTCTTAGAAAGTAATATTCTTTCTCTTTCATTCCTGAAATGATATTTCATATACTTAAGGAACTTATGGACAATTGTTAGCTGATATTTTAATTATGGTAAATTAGCTAAAATTAAATTACCTCTTTTGTTTATGGTGCATATATAAAACATTCCTACAGCCTTGCTAACTGAATTTTCTTTGATAAAAATTTACATTTATGGGAAGGTAGACAGGCAATCATTAAAGCTGAAGTCTCATGGTACATAAAGCTATTTGTTAACTCTGACACCATACAGGGAGGAGAAATAAAATTTAGTATGACAATCTTCCATTCACAAAACTGTGGCAAAATGTGGATAATTTTATGAATTCCCAAGCATTTACTGGGGATATTTACACTTACCCAAGTATCATCCAGAATGCCAACTGCACTGCTGAAAGCTCTTGACAGTTCAGCACTCAGAAAATCTTCAGTTTGTTCATCAATTAACAAAGTTTCTATTTTAAATTTTATTTTGGAATAAAGTCTATGACCATTAACTATGCATTTTTTTGTTGCTATCTCAAGAATGTCATTGCCAGTGCACTGTACATACTATAGAAAAAAATAAAGGGTAGCTTGAGACAGATTTTTCTGTTAATTCATTCACTTTAGTAGGCCAGTCCCAGTCACCATTTGGAGCCTTGTAAGAAGCTCACAGACTTACAGGCTCTTCAGCTCTTCCTCAGACTCAGATCACTATTGGTCACTAATGCTGACAAAGATGAACTTTCAGACATATCATCCTTCCTAAGGTTCAGAAATGATTCTCGAGTTATTTGAAGGATCTCTCTCAAGCCTTTGTTTTCTTGCTAAAAGAGGGCGAAAACAAAGATGTAGTCAGCAAGATAGCTCCAAGAATACAAATGTATCTTAAGCCAAACATATGAAGCTGTGACAGAAGGTTCTATCATTCAAAAACAAAACAACAATAAAGAAAGTTCTATCATTGGCAGACATATACTAAATGACAGATGCAGTTGAAGCTGACAACTTGAATCCAGAGAATACTTTTTTTTTTTAGATTTTATTTATTTATTTGACAGAGACAGAGCGAGAGAGGGAACACAAGCAGGGGGAGTGGGAGAGAGAGAAGCAGGCTTCCCGTGGAGCAGGGAGCCTGATGCGGGGCTCGATCCCAGGACCCTGGGATCATGACCTGAGCCGAAAGCAGACGCTTAACGACTGAACCACCCAGGCGCCCCAAGAATACTGTTTTTTAAAGAGATAGAAATTGTGCTCAGTGTTTTCCACCAGTGCAAAGCCTTATTTATGCAGCTGTGACTGTAGATGGAAGCTCAGAAACTGCTTTATTTTACACTCACAGTATAGATGAAAAAAACAACACCTAGATTTATAGTTCTATAAACTCAACAAAGCCTGTGAATAATACCCTGGGACTAGAACCTCTTTGTACTTTAGTACTTTTACTCCTTTCCATGAGAGCGTGGAATGCAAGACAAGCCATCTGGTTTGGTTTGTTTTCTTCACTGGAATTTGAAAGCAGCAGGGCTGACTGAGTGAATTGTGATATTTTTCAAGGGAAGTGACCAGATCTAGCACTGATAAACAACTTTTTTTCCTAGATTAGTTACTGTAAGAAATTAGCAGACATTTAAAAATAACTTTTATAATTCTCAACCACTTTGTCTTCAGTCTTACTTTCCAAGTTTCATTGGTACAAAGCAGGGATCAGCAAACTACATACAACCTGGCGTGAGGTCTGTTGTTTGTAAATTAAACTTTATAGGAATATACAATTTTTTTGTGTATATGGCCGCTTTGTGTTACAACGGCAGAGTTGAGTAGCTGCAACAGAGAATGTCTGGTTTGCAAAGCCTAAAATATTTTCTATCTTGTCCTTTACTGAAAAAGTTTGCTTACCCCTGTTTTAAAGAATGCTTAGAGACAGAAATCACTTTTGGCCCTTTAGAATCGATAATATCTCCACCATGATTTCAAAATGAAGCTTTTAAAGTATAAACGTCTATTCTACTGATTTGAATTATTCAACAATGATTTATGCCTTTGCTACCACAAAATAAAGGACAGAAAAGCTTTGACATTCCCCAGAAAAATACGAGTGCCCAAAGAATATTTGTGGATTAAAAAAATTTTCCCTGCATCATCATGATCTCCAACAGAATGAAGGAATTTTTTAAATTACTAAATTAAAAAGCATATTCACCCAATAACAGGAAGCAACATAGGATCAAAACATCAATTTTCTCAAATATCGCTACAAGTTACTACTGATCCTAGACTCTTCTATTACTATGGAAATGGTCTTGCATTATATACCTGTATACCCAGTATCCAGATTAAGAAAGAGAGCATTGCCAGTTTTCCAGAGAAGTGTATACATGTATTTTTAAATAGGATGTATTTTCTAGCATAAATCTTTGTATGGACAGTTTTCACCCACATTTGCAATTTAAAACTTACTTCAAGTTGAAATATTCGCTCCTGTTCCTTGCAACCCTGTTGTTCATCAATTTCAATGGCTTTCCTCATTACTGCTGCCATTTCCGTTATCTGATCAACATGTGCTTGTAATTCCTGAAAAAAAGAGATGGGAGTTGCAAATCAGTGAAATACTTTATTTTTATTTTTGGATCCTCTCCTTTTTAAAAAAAATCTGCATTGCCACTTAGTATGAATGTAATATTCTTACATTGCCTTTTAACATGAAGGTACTATAACAAACATATTTACAAGAAAGTTGACTGACCATGAATGTGCTTTTGAAATCAGATTTCTGTTAGGGCTACAGGTAAGGATAAGCAGCACAATATAACTAAACCCACTAGCAAGAAGAGTACTCATATTTCATATTCCTCTCACCACAAATGATCAACACCTTTTCCTTTTTTATACCTACATATACTACTAATCAAAGTAATGCGGAAGACAAAAATTACTGACACATTCGATCTCTTTACCCCTAACATCTTCATGATTTACAAATCTTTTCTGTATTATCCATGCCTAAAAACTGATCTCAATCCAACCTAGAAACTTTTCCAGATTATAATCTTCTTTGAGAGCAGGAACTGTATCTTGTTTATATTTGCCTGTGTCTGGTACATAATGGATAATAAATATTGAATAAAATGAACAGACATCTGCTTTTGAGTATTAAAATATTAAATGTCCTTCTTTGCAAACTGTTCAAAGTATCACTTAGGTATAAAATAGCCACATTTATTTGGTGCAGCTGGTAGCATAAATTTCTTCCAATCTCATGCTATTATTGTTTTGCACACCTACATGATATGCTATGCACCTGCTAGGCAACAGGAATATGAAACCTATCAAGACATGTTCCCTGATTTCAAGGAGCTTAGAGTCAAGTGAAAGAGACAGACACGAGGTTTAAAAATCAACAGAAACTTGAGAATAATAATTTTTTCAACAAACAGCTTCCAAGGCCATTATTCACTGGCAGTTGAGGGTGATTTTATTATATTAAGGTCAAACTTCAAAGCTAAAAACTTCCCCAATAACCCTGTCTCTTAAATAACTATATATCTGATTTGTAAAAAGGATTTGGAGAGGACCTCCAAAACCCACAGAACTAGTAAACTGTGGAAGAAATATGGAGAACAAATAGTATCTTTAGCAAACCACACATTTAGTATGTTCTAACCAACAAAAATGCAGGTCCTTAGGTTATTTTAATGGGGACACCTATACAATGCTAGCATGCAGAAAGGCAAAACAGGACTAATCTACACTATCCAATACGATGCTATATAAATATCAATTAAAATTAAACACCTTTTAAAAAGTTAATTCAGTCCCTGAGTTGCACTACTGACACTTGAAATGCTCAATAGCCACATGGTGCTGAACAGCACAGATAACATTTCCATCATTTCAGGAAGTCCTAGTGGACAGTCCTGGATTAGATTATGGTAGCAAGAATAATATCAAGACAAACATCGGTCATATTCTGAAATAATATTTTAAAAATGATTAATATCCTTCCCTCTGGAAAGGGAGCATAATGTTTAAAAGCAAGTTAAGTACAGACAACTGCAGTAAAAGACTGAGGATGATAAGTAAAAATCCTGAATACGAACATTTTTTTCAGTTTATCATTTAGTGTCCTTTTAGGGTAAAAGGCTGTACAGGAAGCAAGTAATTCTTTGCTTTTAAAATGGAAGAAAATGAGATTCCACTAATTTTTTCAGGACAGTCTGTTCCAATTAAATCATGAGAAAAAAACACCCCAAGACTTCAAACAGAATAGTATTTTTATAGACCCAGTTCATGGATGGTTCATTTATTACAATAAAATCTTTAGGAAAGTATCATAGGTCTTTTAATGAACACAAGAGGCCAAGAGCTGTGCTTTCAAACTGTCTGAAAGGCAAGAAGTGTCAATAATATAATCCTTGAACTTTCTTGAAATGCCTTTCATTTTTAACTTTTGTTTAGGGTTATTTCAAATTTGCTCAATAAAGACCTGCCACAATAATAATAATAATAATAATAATAAAAACAATATAGCATATATACATATAGTATAAAACCTAAACCAAGCATTTTTAGGTTGTTGAGAACTCAAACTAAAGAACTACAAACTATCAAAAATCTGAATTAAAACTGTTCCTTTAATAGTTTGAACAAAATTTTTATGAAATCAGATTAAAATGACTTCCAAGAAAACACTTTGATGTCCACAAAGATGAAAGCTGTTTATAAAATTTTGTAGCAACAAAATGAATATCTGGCTTGAACAACCTTTAAAGCCTGCAATTATCTAACAGGCTGTGTATGATACAATACACAGAGAATTAATGACAGATTTAAAGTTTCTACACTGAATATTTTTGCATGGCTATCAAAAGCACAGCATAATTTTTTTAAAGCAATTTCACTTATTTGCTGATTTAAACTGGCAGGAAAATTCAATGTCAAAGAATGTTTTAAATGGACCTCCCCCCCTTCCATCCACACCCCAAAAGTTGACTGTTTTATTTAGTGTACATTCTGATTTGCTTCCAAGTGCCTCCTCTCCAGTCCATGTTGAGATGCTTCAAAGATGTGTCGAGATGCATCAAGGAAGAATCCTTCGGAGCTGTTACGATGTACCATGTCAATCTGTAGTATAGAGTCATTATAATGTTAATACGGATATCATCCGTAATTTAAAAACTGAATGAGTGTTAGTTCATGCGTGTTAGCCAACTGTTTGAAATGTTTGTTTTTTCAAGATTTCCAAAAAGGCATCTGTTCAAAAATAATGTAAAAATGAGTATTTGGACAAAAATGAGTTCTTCTCAAACTTTTTATTGATTTTTTAATCTGTGCTCAAAAACTTCTAAGTGAGGGTGAAATTCTGTACTACAGTGGTCTCAAAATGATCTCTTATGCCAAAATGCTGTTATGTGTAACTCTGCTTGTTACCCCTAAATGTGTTATAAATTATTTTTGTGTTTAGGCTCATCAGAGTGTCAATACCTAAACACATCCTGGAATCTCATATTTTTCCACCTTTATCATACAAGTTTCTCTGCTCACCCACTTCTGCTTGTTGACCCTTCCCCCCTCCCCCAATAATTAATTCAAGGCTAGATTTAGATGGATTTGTCTTTCTTGACACGTTCCCAGATTCTCCTCAGAAGAACTAATCTTGCTTCCACTAGTATTCCTCTATTAAATCATATCTCTATTTTAGGATTCATCACATCCTACCTTATATGTTTGTATCTCCCTTTACACTATAAGCTCTTATGGCAGAGTAATGAACTTATTATTTATTCATCTTATTATTAATAATAACTAAGCCAGTGCAAGTGTTAATAAATGTTTGTTTAATTGAGTTGAAGTGTCTCCTTTTTGGGAAAAATCAAAATCACAAACATTAATATGTATTAGTTGGAATTAACAACAAGTAACCGAACAGTCATTTTATGGAAGGATCAGCACTTAGATGAATTCAATCTACATAATAAAGGATGGTTTACAGCTCTCTTAAGAAATGTTTAACTCTGTTAATTAATTACACTGTGCTAGTGAATGGTAAAATCTAATGTGTTCTAGAAAATATTTGCTTTTGGCACAGCTGCTACCAGATGGAACTAGCAACCTGCAGTATCTTATGCTAAACATTTTTTGGTAGAGCAATCTCTTTAGATCTTAACAAATTTATTTCTTAGGTTTTAAACATAAAGGCCTTTTGGAATTTCTCAAGATTATATTTTACCAATAATTAATTAATTTAAGTCAATTCATCTTTGTACCTTTAAAACACTCAAGTTATACATTAAATTTATATGTTTTTATAATGATCTCATTAATGATAGATAACTCTATATTCAAAAGATTGCCACTTAAATATCCAAGGTTATTCCTTTTGGTTAGAAGATGAATAATATAATTAGATAACATTAATCCATATTTATTAATTTATTATACAATTGACAGAAGAGGTATCTATTACTAATTCTCTTAATATGCAAACTTGTCACACAAAGATCTATTTACTAGGTATTTCATTTTAATAGAATAATTAATAATTTAAAAATACCTACAAGCACCAAGATGGAAGAATTATTTTAAGGACTCTAAAATGTGTTTCAGTAATTGAAAGAGATAAAAACATGTCTTAAAACAGTATTTCTTAAATAATGTTAGTTTTAACTAATAATAGTTAGCTCACCATTATCCAACACAGGTAATAGCTAGAAATCACAATATTCTAATATTTTTATTCACATCAGCAGTTAAAATTCAGCTTAAGATGTAAATAGGAAAGGATTATTATACTTGTCTTCACAGCAGTTGCTAATGAACACAGGGACATACACAAAGAAAACAGAAACAGGGATGTCAATAAGTAAAAAGAACAGAGGGAAAAACACTAATTTCTAACCAGCTCAGCTCTGTCTCTAAAAATGGTGTTAAGTGATATGTGATTGGAGAGTGGGGTGGGGTCAAATCTTAATATGCTGGCACTTTTCCTCCCTGCCCCCTATGGTTTTTCCATCATAATCAGTATTGTTTACAGTCTGAATTAATTAGCCTCATTCAGAAAACAGTCTTAAGGAAAACAACTCTACCTTTAGCTGGTTTCAGATTTCTGAAAACATTTTTCAGCATTTCAATTTTTGTTTTTGCAACAAATGTCAACACACAAACTAGAAGAAATATTTCTTAAAAGCAGATAACCTTATAAAATAATTTTGAATTGAATATACTTACCTTTACTTCCCAAATAAAGTTTATTTTTAAAAATATATTAAAGCTACTAGGGAACAATAGGAGTTAAGAGAGTAAATCAAACAAAATATGTAACAAGAAATGACAAAAATAAGGAAAAGCATAAAATGTCAGAAAGATGAAACAGTCAATACCATGTTAGATACCTGTGATTTAAAAAAAAAAAAAATCTCAACACAAGTTAACCAATTGTGCTTCTTTTTCATTTTAAGTTATATTTATAAAATGGATTACCTTGGAGTGCTGTTCTTTTAACTTCGTTATTATGCCCGGATCATCTTTTTTGCTAGCCATCAGCAGTCTAAACATTTGCTCTCGATACTTGCTCATTATAAGTTCCAAGGCAGATTGATGTTCTTCCAGAGATGTACGCAATTCTATCAAGAATCACAAGAATAACAGTATATTTTACTCAAACTTGAGTTAAAGATATACAAAATATTCTCTTCCCCACTGTATTTACCAAAAAAAGAAGGTGTTTCGAAAAGAAAATGTGTAAAAACCTTGACAAAGAAAGCAAGCACACCAAATGGAGTCCTTTATTAGTTTTTTAAATGACCATTTAAAACTCAGTTTTAAAGAATCATTTCAACATTTACTGAATAATAATTAAGTACCAGATAATGCTCTATATTAGGAATACCCAAAAGGCCATGGAGCTGAGTCTAGTGGAGAAAGCAAATGCATAAATAATTATAATACAATGTGTAAAGTACAGAGTAGAGCTCTACCCAAATATATATAAACAAAGTCTATGGGGAGAAACTGGTGAAAGTTTCACATTATTGAGATGAACTTGCATTCCTTAAGTTGAAAAATAAAGGAAAGGGCATTCTACACAGGGAGGCGTGAAAGTGGATGTTGTGTTCAGAAACTAGTTCAGGACAGCAAGAACAAAGGTTTCATGGAGAAGAGAGGTATGGGAAGCAGACAGAGAAAAAGGCCTTGAGTTGAGTTTGAAAGCTCTGGATAAGGAAATAAGTATACAATGAAGGTTCTAAAGCAAAAAAATAAAATGATTAGATACATCTTTGAAAAATGAATCTGATGCCTGTTTTGGAGACAGACTGAAGCGGGGGAAAGAGACTAAAATCACAGAGGCCAATTAGGACAGATCAGGTAAGAGACTATGAACACCAAAGCAAGAAACCAAAGCAGTGGTTCTGCAGAGAAGGAAAGTGAGTTACTTCATAGGTAACAACAATGGCACAAACTGGATATTGAGGGTAAGAATCTAGGATGACTCCATGCAAGGTAGACATTCATATGTAGGAAAGGATAATGACTAATACATATGATTTGGGCATATGGATCAGAAATGAGAATACCAAAAAGGAAATTCAGTGGGCCATTTCCCCATTTTTGAAAATATTAAGAGTCCAATTGTATATTACAGCTCTTTTAATTTTAACTAAATTCAATTTTAACTAAAATCCAATGAACTATGCCCTTCAAAAGGGTATATTTTATCGTATGTGAAATACATCTCAATAATAGTAATAAAAGAGCATGTGCAAAAGAAATGAAAAATTATTTTTTTTAAATAAATGTGAATCTAACTTTAAAGCCCACTCCTTTATTCTCAAAGCATTCTGATGAGCCACTTAGTAACATAATTCATTATAATTTCCTGGTTCTTAACTTTAGTTGTCAAACTCCTTTGTGTTTTAAGATTATATATCTTACCTTTGTTCTCTTGTTGCAGTTCTCTGATTTGTCTGTTTTCTTGCTGAATTCCCATAACTAATGTGGACCGTGGCCGATGCCTTGCAACTTCATTAAGTTCTTGAATTTCTTCCTGATACTAATGAAAAGATCAAAAAAGAACATGTGGGGAGAAAATATGTGAAAGTATGTATCTCAGATATATATCTGATAAGGGTCTAATATCCAGAATATATAAAGAATTCTTACAACTCTCAATAACAATAAAAATAATAATCCTAATTTAATAATAATACATTAAAAAATGGGCAAACAAAATCAGTAAGTTCTGGGGAATCTAATGTACAGCATGGTGACTACAGTTAATAAGATTGTGTTATATGCTTAGAAGTTAATAAGAGTACATCTTAAATGTTTTCATCACACACATATGGTAATTACATGAGGTGATGCAGGTATTAACTAACTTTACTGTGATAATCATTTTGCAATATATATGTGTATCAAATCAAATCATCTTGCACACCTTAAGCTTACATAATGTTATATGTCAATTTATCTCAATAGAGCCGGAAAAAAGTGGGCAAGGGATCTGAAGAGACATTTCTCTAGAGAAGGTATACAAATGGCCAATAAGCACATAAAAAGATGTTTAATATTACTAGTCATTAGGGAAATGCAATTCAATACAACAGTAAGATACCACTTCACAACTACTAGGATCATCTTTTTTTTTTTAAGATTTTATTTATTTGACAGAGACACAGTGAGAGAGGAAACACAAGCAGGGGGAATGGGAGAGGGAGAAGCAGGCCTCCTGCAGAGCAGGGAGCCTGATGCGGGGCTTGATCCCAGGACCCTGGGATCATGACCTGAGCCGAAGGCAGACGCTTAACGACTGAGCCACTCAGGTGCCCCTAGGATGATCTTAATCAAAAAGTCAAATAACAAGTGTTGGACAGAATGTGGAGAAATTGTACTGTTGACTGGAATGTAAAATGGTGTAGCTGCTTTGGAAAACAGTCTGGCAGATCCTCAAAAAGTTAAACATGACCCATTCATTCTACCCCCAGGTATATACCCAAGATAACTGAAAAAATATGTCTACACAGAAACTTGTACACTAATATTCATAGCAGTATTATTTATAATAGCCTCCAAAAAGAAACAATCCAAACGTCTATCAACTGATGGATAGACGCAATGCACTATACCCTTATGATGGAATATTATTCAGCAATAAAAAGGAATAAAAAACTTACGCTACAACATGGATGAACCTCAAAAACATTACATTAAAAAACCAGTTACAAAAAGCCACATATTGTATGATTCCGAAATGTCCCAAGGAGACAAATCCACAGAGACAGAAAGATTAGTTGCTAGGGGCTGAGGGAAGGGAGAACTAGGGAACAGCTGCTAGTAGAAGCAAGCTCTTGGGGTGATGAGACTGTACCAGAATTAGATAGTGAGTATGGCTGCACAACCTGTGAATGTACTAAAATCCAATGAACTATGCCCTTCAAAAGGGTTAATTTTATGGGTATTGTGAATTATAGCTCAATAACAATAGTAAAAAAGAACATGTGCAAAAGAAATGAAAAAAACTATAAATAAATGTGAGTCTAACTTTAAAACTGAACTCCTTCATTTTCAAGGCATTTTGATGTGTTGCTTAGTAATGTATTCATTATAACATTTCTGGTTCTTTAATTGTCAAACTCCTTTGTTTTTACAACTCAATACCAGATATATGTTCCTTGGAATGCATGAGTCAAGCTGGACAGTTAGGGAGATATGTAATCTGTTTAGGGCAACAAAACAAGTAAACTTGCTCCATTATTTCCAGTAGCTTTGTTAAAAGCAGTATCCCAGGGTTGCTTCCTTTTACAAGATGGATAAGTTTCACAGGAGTAGGCTATAAATATACATTTCCCCCAACTGATTTCCATCATAAGAAATTGTATAATTCTCTTTGAGTTGAAAATTTTGTCATACGGAGGCTTTTAAAATGGTAGCTAAACTCCATAGACCACTGGAAAGTTCTTTTATGCAAGTTCTTTTATAAGAAAATTCTTACATATATTATAAGGATAATAAGAAGTGAAGCCCTTTTCATTTCTTCTTTAACTGGTAGCATTAAGTGAAAATTAAGGTAGGAAGTACAGTATAAACCAGATATTGCTTTACATCATTTTCGAAAACTACTTTGTTGTTAAATAACATCACCTAAGTACTTTTATAAAGAAAAATATAAACATTTCTACATTATAAAAATATGAGACAGAGCAAAATATGTCACTATTAGTAAAAGATATTATTTGGTCTTTGTCCTATCTCTGAACCTAATATATTCATATATTTTCTAAACTCCAATGTGCACCTTTGTCAGAAAAAACAGTCAAATATATAGTTTTTAGAATATACATACATATATATATATTACCTGGACATGACAAAATTATAGGATAGTCTAAAGTAAAATTAAAACCTACAAGTCAAACTACTTTTAAATTTTATAGAACATTAAAAAAATAACTATTAATTAAGCAGAAGTTTATGATTCAAGCAATACATAAATGTCTGCTTTTTTCAAAATGGAATCAACAAGAAAGAAAAATCAAACCTGCTTCATCGCTTCTACTCGCTTATTGAGAGCTGTGGTTTGCTCAATCAGAGATTCTGCTGCATCGTCATGATCTCTCAATCTTTCAACAAGAGCTTTAGCATCAGCAAGTGCCTTCTCAATTGTGCAACTCATTTCTAAAGGAATACCTATAAAATTAAAATCAAGACTCAAAACAAAGCCAGTATATCATCTTACTATTTTAGTTTCACGTTAACATAGATATGCTTCTTAAGCTACATTTGTTACAGGATTGTTCACTGCGCAGAAAAAACATGTTAAAACACTTGTGGTTTTGCTTCTCTTAGGATGGCATAAGCTTGAAAGTGAATTTATAATATCAAAAAAATTAGAGCATATATAAATGATTTGCAGACATAATCAGAGTGTATTTAAAATACCCTGAATTTATGGTGGGGAAAAAAGTACAAATCAAGTGAATACATTTTATATTATATAAAAATTGTGCTCTTCATGAGATCCTCCACTCCCTTATCTTGTTATTTGTGAAAAAGGTCACTTTATTAGTCCGTACTCTGTGGTCTATGATTGTGAGCTGCTAACTGTGAGATCCTTCCTAGCCTCTGCTTGGTCAGGTGACCTGAGATACCATTTACAACACATACTTATTGACCAGCCAAAGTGGTCTCTATGTGTCATGCTATGTAAAAGTGTCCTTCTTTTGGAGGAACTACGTCTTACATGAAGTACTATAATCCTAATTCTTGCACTTCTTTAGTAAATGGTTAAAAAAATATGACTTAGAACACCAGCCATTATGGGAAATTTTTGATACGTTAAAATCAATAAATAATGTGTTTAAGAGGAGCTCAAAAAATTAGGAGACAAAATATGAAACATTCAATAGTTAGCTTCTTTCTTCACCTAGTATGCAGAGACCCCAAAACAAAATCGTAATTTTAAAATAATCTCTCTCAAAGACTTTAACCTTCTGAAATTTACTATCTTTGAATTTTTCTCTTAGTTTTACCTTACCTTCTGTATGAGCCATCCTTTCTTCAGGGCTTTCTCAAAAAGTAAAGTCACACTGTAAAATTACTAGGCCAGAAGCCAGGTCTATAGACGTTAAATTAAAACTCTGGTATGGATCCAAGCTAAGGGCTATAATTAAGGATTTCATCAACTGTAGGAAGACAAATTTGCTATAGAATGCAAGATTGTTAGATTCTACTGTACTAGTTCAAACCTGAATAAGAGGATTCAAACAGAATCAAAATGTAAAACTGCCAATTTAGAAAATACTCAATATATGACATTTCCAGAGAGCTTTAAGAATTAAAAAAATCTGGAAATTAATACAATTTCTGGCTCTCCAGATAACACAACCAAAAGATTTGTCTTCTAAGATTTGAGAGATTTAGAAAAAGGTACTTGAAAAAACAATAAGCAAAGGGGTCATTAAGGTTACAACTGTCCCATACTGGCTAAAACACAAAAGGACAACTATCCAACATCTGTTCAAGATGCTGCTCCAAGGAAGACATTAGCATCCAACAATGCCCTACCCTTTCTCTAAACTTCCAAGGAGAATTACTTAAAATTATAGATGGGTAATAATACAGATTTCTTATTCGTATGGGAGCCATCATATCTCCCATTAACCCCACTAGTATGAAACACCAGATCCTTCAGAATAAAATTTTGAAGTTATTTAAAGCCCCCTCACCAAAAAGAAAAAAAACAAAAACAAAATTGGGAGGGGGAAGAGGGGGCAAATTGACTTGTAATGAGTAAAAAAAAAAAAAAAAAAAAAAATTAGGGTGCCTGGGTGGCTCAGTCATTAAGTGTCTGCCTTTGGCTCAGGTCATGATCCCAGGGTCCTGGGATTGAGCCCCGCATCGGGCTCCCTGCTCAGCAGGAAGCCTGCTTCTCCCTCTCCCACTACCCCTGCTTGTGTTCCCTCTCTCGCTGTGTCTGTCAAACAAATAAATAAAATCCTAAAAAAAAAATTAAAAACAAGACATATTTGTCTTACAGTAAAGATAATTGATTGTAACAGATGGTCAAAGAAAATAATAACAAAAAGAAACAAATTTGAAAGTCTAGAGAAAATTGTAAAAAGACTTTAGAGACATAAAGTTTATCTTGGCTTAACAGAACAACTCAAGGGCTAAGAACCTCTAACAAACCCAGGTCCCAACCTGTAAATATTATTGGGACCACTATCTGAAAAATACTTCTTTATGCTCTGTAACACAACATCTACAAATATAATACACAGGATCTGTTTCCAAATAGAATACACTAAGGCTCCTACATACGATTAGATGATAGGTGATATAGACATTAAAAAAACTATACTGTGTATGATTCAATAAGTTTTCCCCCCTTACCCGCCCCCAAAAAATGGGAGAAGAAAAAAAAAACTGAGCTCCTAGATTCCTCTGGGCAAAAGAATCCACAGAGACTGATAGATTAATTGGAAGAGAGCCATTAATCTAGATGGAGTCTTCCTAGGTAATCATAAATCTTTCTTTTTAAAATCTTTCTTTTTAAAATGTGAAAAAGTTATGCTGTGTTCTGGGGATATTAACTTCACAACATGGCACCAGAGTCACTGCCTATTAAATCCTATGCCTTAATTGAGGAGCTAAGATAATCCTTCCCTCAGAGCAATCGCCCTTGATTACAGCATCTTCCTAACTTACACTAAGTCTTTTTTTTTTTTTTAAATACTTTATTTTTTGACAGAGACAGCAAAAGAGGGAACATAAGCAGGGGGAGTAGGAGAAGGAGAAGCAGGCTTCCCGCTGAGCAGGGAGCCCAATGCGGGGCTCAACCCCAGGACCCTGGGATCATGACCTGAGCCGAGGCAGATGCTTAACAGACAGAGCCACCCAGGCTACCCTACAACTAGGTCTGTAAACCTAATGTTGCCATGTCGCAAACCCTATTGGTAAAGGAAAACCACTCTATGTTTTCTACTAGTTGAAAAATTATGAAATACTGTTACTTTCACCTTTTCATATTACCATCCACTAGTGACACTCTTACTCCAATAGCCAACCCACTGAACGAAAATCTCATGATTGTGTTTCCATTCCATAAATCAAGAAATGTCCAAGCCCCAAACAAAACTTTTGAATTCTCTAGGCACAAATCTTGACTTTACTGCTTGTAAATGGGTTTTATAGTAAGCACAAAAGGTGACAATACCAGGCTTGATATACAATAGGTACTTCAGTCACTCTGATAAAACTAATTTTCTTACTGGAAGCCAAACCAATCAAATGACTTAACTGTAGCTGTCTAAAATAGAGCAACTTGCTTAAAAAAAAAAAATTATATTCTAATAGCTGGATCATTTTTGGGATAATTCACTTCTTTGAAATACTGCCAAAAAAAAAAAAGTTCCTCAGATATCCCTTAATAAACAATGAATACATTAACTATTTAATGGCTTGATACTACCCAAAATAAGAGACACACAATTAAAAAAAAAATTAAAAAAAACACCATACAAGCTAGGATGCTATATATGTACTAGTATACATAGTGTAATTATGGAACTTTATATATACATATACTTATATATATATATATACGGAACTTTTATACCTTATGTTATAAACAGATTTCTTTGACTCAAAGTCCTTAAGCAAGGGCCTCACATAAAACAACAAAATCATAAATCTATGGAGAAGTTCAAAGATTCCATCATAGACACGCAAACTCTCGCCTAATTCCAAAAAGAAACATGGGATGATCAGTTGTAAAATCCACGAGGATAAGAGCTGCCACAATCAGAATGGTGACTCGACAGCACCAGATGAAACCTCAAATGGACACTAGAAACTCTAGGAAACATCACATTCCAATAGGAAAAAAATTGGCCACAATATTAGAAACACTGATGGGAAAACTTTCTGGATAGCAGGGGATATGGCCCAGTGCATGTTTTATTTGCAAATAAACTAATCTGGAAAAATTTAAAAGATGAAGTGAGGACTAAAACCATTCCTAAAGAATTTTTTGAACATTTTCCAGTGGATTTTATAGGGCTGTCTCTATGCTCTAGCAATATGTAACATTCCTTAATATACTACTATGTTTATATTATGAATGGGTTGAAAAAGTCCCCTGTTAAAAAGCCATAATAATTGCAATAGTTAAAATACTACTATAGTTTGTATTTCCCACCAATGACATTCTAACTTCTCAATCAAGTATTATGGAAATGTATTTAACTGGCACATTTATGAATTTAAATTATGCAACACTCTCTCTTCCTCAGAAATCTTCCTGTCTTCATCATTCCCAGTCCTCAGTAAAACTCAAACAGGATAAATCCAAGAAGGTCTAAACTCAGACACACCATAATCAAATTTCTGAAAACTAAACAGAAAGAAAAATTCGTAAAAATAGAAAGAGACAAATAACACTTATGGAGAACCAACAATTTGAAGGACAGTCAGAAGCCAAACTGATTCAAATTGAAAGCGGAACACTTAAAATGCAGAAAGAACAGAACTGTCACCCCAGAATTCTATATCCAGCAAAAATACGCTTTATATATGAAGGTGAAATAAAAATCACTCTCAGAAGAAAAAGAATTCATTTCTAACAGATTTGTTCTAAAAGAATTTCTTCAAAGAGAAGCAAAATGGTATCAGAAGGAAACTTAGAGCATTAGGAATAAAGGAAGAGTAACATAAATAAATAGGCAAATAACATAAGCTATTCTTGAATGCTTTAAAATGTCTGATGTTTGAAAACAAGAACTATAACTTCTGTTTGATAGAATTTTCAGTTTATGTATATGTAATATATAACTATGATATAAAGGTGGGAGGATAAATGGACCTATATAGTGATAATGTTTTAACATGTCACCTGAAATTATTAAAGGTCAACTGTAAGTAAAACTGTTTTATGTACGTGTGTGTGTGTATATATATATATATATA